TATTGGATACTTCGAGCGAGACCGACAATTCGCAGCATCGTCAAGCGATGTCAACTGTGCCGACTACGACGCGCAACAGCATCGATCCCGCCCACCGGAGACCATCCGGTCAGCCGACTCGCCCATCACCAGAGGCCGTTCACATACACAGGCGTGGACTTCTTCGGGCCTCTTAGTGTCACCGTGGGGGCGACAACACCACAAACGCTACGTCGCGTTGTTCACATGCTTGACAACGCGAGCAGTACATTTAGAGTTAACCACCTCATTGTCTACAGACTCCGCAATATCCGCACTCAGGCGGATGATGGCCCGACGAGGGAAGCCAACCGAGATCTGGTCCGACAATGGGACCAACTTCCACGGCGCAGACGCAGAGCTACGTCGCGCCGCCATAGAAGCAAGTCGCGAAGACGCAGCTAATCATCGTATACGCTGGCGGTTCATCAGCCCCAGCGCACCATTCATGGGCGGAGCGTGGGAACGTCTCGTCCGCTCCGTGAAAACAGCATTAGCCGCCACACTGCATGAGCGGCACCCTTCGGAAGAAACATTAGTCACACTGCTGTGTGAGGCGGAATATACCGTGAATAGCCGTCCGCTCACACATGTGTCAACTGAACCGGACGACGAGGAAGCCCTCACGCCTAACCACTTTCTACTGGGAGGATCGGGCAAAGTGCAAACTCCGGGAAGCTTTGAAGACACCGATATCGATAGCCGGAGTCACTGGAAGAGAGCGCAGCGGCTAGCAGACCACTTCTGGAGCCGATGGCTCCGGGAGTACCTACCGGAACTTCAACACCGGCGGGAGCCCCGCGGCACGGGGCAACCTCTGCGCATCGGAGACTTAGTCCTGATCGTCGACTCCAATCTCCCGCGCAACACATGGCCGCGCGGGAGAGTAATAGCAGTGTTTCCCGGCCCAGACGGCGTCATCCGAGTGGCCGACATCCAGACCAAGAATGGCGTGCTGAGGAGGCCAACCAAACGACTCGTGGTCCTGCCAACGGGAGTTGCTGATAGTGAAGAGCGGGCTCCGGAACCAGACAAGGCTCCTGCAGCGCCCTCGACGACCGCTGCAGCGGCGGGAGAATAATGTTCCGGACCACCGCTTAAAGATTATATATAGTCATAGTTTGTAGAAATAAGTTCGATTAGATATAGCAAATTTATAAATAGTACAATTGTTACATAGTAACACCTTAAGATTAATAGATTTGATAGGGATAAGTTTATAGAAATTTAAGTTCTTTATGTTATTATTTACAAAAATGCTTGACAAATAAATGATTATAATGGTTGTGGTTTCAATCCCCTAAAAATAAATAGGTCGTCAAATAGAAACAGAATAGAATATAGTATAAAAAAATAGATCCCAAAATACATAGGGATCTTTTTATAGTATCATTTCATTTGTAGATATGTAATAATAATTGTAATGTGCGTTGCGCGGCAACATTCGTTCGACTGACGCGCGACCTCGCTCTCCCGCGCTATATATATATGAGGGGGAAGGGGAGCGAGGTCATATAAAAGGCGCGATCCGCGAAATCGCGAATTATTCCTAAACCGCACGTCGCGCAGCGCACACATCATAATAGAAATGTAAATTAAAGATGGTATTGACGTTTGATGCACAAATTGTAAACACAAAATGTAAGATTGATAAAATATAATAAAAATTATATAAAGGGGTGAGGAGAATAGGGCGGCCAAGGGTCCGCTGGCTAGTAGCCAAAAATCGTATATAAGTAGCGTCCAAAAGCGCTACAAATCATAGCGAATTCAACCTCTGAATAGCGACATTGATCTTCGGATAGCGAAATCGACCTGAAAAGGAATCAACCACTGAAGAAATTCTCCTCGCCTCTGCATTCTGAACCACAAGAACTGTTTTCTCATTCACTGCCCGTCCATCATCGCCGTCGTTAAGTATAGTCATCACAATCCTCTTCACGCATCGTGTCATCGCATCGTGTCACCGTCGCATCAGCATCGTTTAAACGTCCTTCTCAGGACGAATCATCGTGGTGCCTATAAAAAAGGCACCTGGTCCTTCACCCGCAACGCGCCCGCGGCGTTGATTGAGGCCCTTCAGGTAGGGAGTGCTTTGAAAAGGGCACTCTCTCACCTCGAGGAGGATAGATTGACGTCCGGGCGTACCAGCGACTCGGTGCCTGCCGACGCGCCTTCCGACTCCCGGGGGCAGCGGCCAGCACATATACAACTATACATATAAATAAAATTGGAGTGTCTGTTTGTAATATTGAAATAATCGTTATTTACTACATGCATATAATTATGATTTACATAATTGTACAAGTATAATAATAATAATAATAATAATAAATTTATTTGCAATAGATTTTGGGTACATACATATATGATGTTATACAAAAACATGGCCCTTACAAAATCTGCTTATATCAAGCGTACAAATTTTTAGTTAATTAAATTATCAATTGTTTATATAATTATTAATTATTGTATGTAGTTATATATATGTATGTGTATGTGTATGTACCATACATATACCAAAATATCATTTTTTACAAATTTTGTCTTTGTTTGTTCCGGCTAATCACCCGTCAAAATCGATTTTGACAGGACTTTATTGGCAGGTAGCTGATGTAATAAGGAGTTAACTTAAGCTACTTTTACTTTAGATAAATAAAGTTCAATACCACGCTGACGAAGTCACGAGTGCAGCTAGGTTTAAGTTAATAAGTTACACAGAGTAACATATAAGCTAGGTATAAGTTAAACAGAGCTTGTGTTGTGGGTACTAGAAAACTGATTTAAACTATACGTATTATACATATATACGCAGTAAATATCGTGATTTTCTCTCACTTGATAATTTGTTAGATGTAATTGAAGATATTTAATCAGACATATTAAACAGTTTCAATTTGACCTTATACACCCATTGGTTTGGTGTTTTTTTGACATTTAAAAAAAATTACCGTTTTATTGCTATCACCCCAAAAAACTCTAACAACGTTTAAACATAAATTAACTCTTTATATAATTATTGATAGCCTCAGTGGTTTAGCGGTTTAGCACACTGCTTTACTTCCGATGGTCGCGGGTTCGATTCCGCGCGCGGTGCAAACATTTGTATTCTTGAGTATGATTGTTTGTCTGGGTGTTTTCTATGTATATTATGTATGTATTTACAAAAATATCTAGGCATTTATATCAGTTGTCTAGTATCCATAACACAATCTACTTCTCTCTACTTACCTTGGGACTAGATGGCGCTGTGTTGATTGTCCAGTGGGTTATTTATTTATTTTTGTCGTGTCTCTATGACCATGTTTTCTTCTGTTAATAAAATATAAAAAAAAAATGTTAACACATTTCTAAATCACATAATATATATGCAAAAATGACTAAAGAAATTCTATAAAGACAACTTTTGTAGCTAACACTTCATCTCGACTTTTTCCTTGTTCTGCGTAATATATAAATGAGAAACTTTTACACTAGAAGAATATTAAAAACACAAAGAGTAAGGGTCACGACTAACCCCCTATAGGCTAGTTAGAGGGATCGTCAATCGACGGCCTTGGTGGTATAGAATACTGCCTTCTGATGACAGCGGCTTCGATTCCTCGCACGACACAAATCTTTGTATTCATGAGTACGATTGTTTGTATCGGTCTGGGTGTTTTATATGTATATTATGTATGTATTTAAGTATTTCTATGTGTTGACTAGTGCTTAATATAAATTGACTTTTCGACTTTGAAATTGAATTTTTATTTTATTCTATTGTATTCTAATTACATATATACATATAAATAAAATTGTAGTGTCTGTTTGTAATATTGAAATAACCGTTTTTTTACTACATGCATATGAATGTAAATACGGTACATACACCAAAATAATATTTTTTTTATTTTTGTCTGTCTGTTTGTTTCAGCTAATCTCTGAAATGGCTCGACCGATTTTGACGGGACTTTTATTGATAGCTGATCTAATAAGGAGTAACTTAGGTTACATTTGTTATAGAAAAATTCTCTTATTAACTTTTTTTTTAAATTCCATGCGGACCAAGTCTCGAGTACAGCTAGGCATTACATAGTATAAAACAAAGTCGCTGTCGCTGTCTGTCCCTATGTATGCTTAAATCTTTAAAACTACGCAACGGATTTTGAAGCGGTTTTAGTCATAGATAGAGTGATTCAAGAGGAAGGTTTATATAGAATTAGAAATAGAAATAATCCTTATTCAAATAAACTTAATATAAGCACTTTTGAATAGTCAAGTTTATTGATTCTACCGCTCATTCTGAATGCAGACTCATCACAAGAAGATTGAGCAAGAAACTTGTGTGTTGCTCTATATATACATATATTTACAAGACCATGATCCGGCCTGCTGTCTTGTATGGATCAGAGTGCTGGCCCGTAAAGGCGACGGATGAAAGACGACTGCATGCTACTGAAATGAGAATGTTGAGGTGGATGTGTGGTGTGACAAGAATGGATGAGATAAAGAATGAATAAATTAGAGGAAGTATGAATGTGGCGCCGGTGTCAGAGAGGTTGAAGAGTAATCGACTATCGTGGTATGGACATGTAATGTTAATAGCTAATGAGGATAATATTTAAGAAAAGTGTTACATATGAATGTGGATGGTTATAAGGGCAGAGGAAGGCCGAAAAAGAGATGGATGGACTGTGTGAAAGATGATATGGCAAGAAAGGAAGTAAATAACGCGATGACTGCGAACAGGGATGAATGGAAGCGAAAAACATATTACGCCGACCACAAATAAATGGGATAAGGAAGAAGCAGATGATGATGATGTATATATAGAGCATATGTGTATCTATGTACATATATAATAAATGTACTAATGTAATGTATAATATATGTACACCCGTGGAAAGACAGGGCGTGTAGCTTTTTATTTTAGAAAAAAATTCTAAGAAGTCGCGAATACAGCTGGTTAAAATAAAACTAAAACGTACGTTTTGTTTCAGATGCAGTAGCTAGCAGTAGTGCCCACAAGTTGCAAGTGAATATAGCTTTGTGGACGTTAGTCTTACTAATTATAAGACGAGTGCCTTCACTAGTGAAATAAATTGACTACAATATTTTAGTATTCAAATTTTAATTATTATAAGTACTTATAACTAACGTGGCGCTGTGAGTGTTTGGTATAGTTCAACATATAATATATATATATGTAAATATCAAAGTTGTAATTAAGTATAATACAGAAATGTGGTGACAACACTATTTTCAACGTGCATATTTGAAGTGTACTATGAGATCCTAGTGATGTGGCATTTTTTTTAGTGATGACAATAGAATGGTGCACACGTCTGCGCTGATGGTTGACGCTGGCGGGGCACCAGTGGAGGATGATGAGATGAAGATGAGGTTAGGTCAGTTAGGTCATCGTGGTAAACTCACTATGTTTCCAGGGGGAATTAGGAGGTCAACCTGACATGGTACATTGCTGGCAGTGAGTTTAGTAGTAAATTTAGAAAATTGGTTTGACAGTCTCGGTGGTCTAGCGGTTTGATACACCGTTTTACTACCGATAGCAACGGGTTCGATTTCTAGTACAAATATTTCTGACATTGATAGAAATGTTGTTATTAGTAAACTTAGAAAATTGGTTTGACAGTCTCGGTGGTCTAGCGGTTTGATATGATTATGGTTTGATACACCGTTTTACTACCGATGGCAACGGATTCGATTCCTAGTACAAATATTTCTGACGTTGATAGCAATATTGTTAAACTTAGAAAATTGATTTGATAGTCTCTAGTCTAGCGGTTTCATACACCGTTTTACTTCCGATGGCAACGAGTTCTATTCCTAGCACAAATATTTCAATTCAAGAGTATTTGTATGTATTGGTATGAGTTTTTTCTGTGTATATTTTGTATGTACTAACATTATGCCAAGCTTAGTTTGGTACTAGATGGCGCTGTATGAATTGGATATAAATATACATTATAAATACGAAATCTGTATACTTAATACATTTTACTAAACAATTGAAGGGCGCGCTCTTTCACCTCATAAAGTAATATCGCAAAGGATGAATTAAGGAATGAAAATTGTACACTCGAGGTCGTGTGTAACGGCTATTACTTAGTAATATAAAAGAAAGTCATATTTCAAGGGGTGTAATAGGGGATGAAACATAAAGTAATATTTCAAGGGATGAAATAGGGGATGAAACGTTTGTGGAGACGAAGACGTCTGTAACGGCTATTAGTTAGTAATATCAAGGAAACTAATATTTAAAAGGATGAATCATTTGTGCAGAAGAAGTCGCGTATTTTCGCTAGTTTAGTATATAAATGTCCATGTATAAACTCGGTTTACATGGCAGAGGGCAATGCACATGACGTAGGGTGACTCAGCTGTATTTTTTATTTCCATTTGATTGAACTGAATTTATTCAAAGTAGGGTCCTTTGGCATGACTGGTTATCTTTCATCTCAAAAAGTAATATTTCAAGGGATGAAATAGGGGATGAAATATTTGTGCAGACGAAATTGTGCGTAACGGCTAATAGGCAAATAGTAATATAAAGAAAGTAATATTTCTAGGGATGAAACAGGGGATGAAACATTTGTGCAAATGAAGTCGCGTGTAATAGCTAGTGGTTCAGTATATAAATGTTCATGTACTAACTCGGTTTTCATCACAGAGGTTAATGCATATGAACGTGTTACAGTGGCGTGACTCAGCTGTATTTTTTATCTCAATTTGATTGAACTGAACTTATTCAAAGTAGGGTCCTTTGGCATGACTGGTTGATTCCACTCGCCCTCGTCGCGTACTAATAATCCTTTACTTAATGTACTTAAGTATAAACGTCAAAGTATCACAGTATCATTATCGTATGAAGTTTTATTCTATACTAGCAGTGCCCGCGGTTGCACGCGCGTGAAATCTATAGCGTATATGTTATTCTGATGTAAAGTTTCGTCACTATCCGTTCAATCATCCATACAGTAACAAACATCCATACTTACAAACTTTCACGATTATAATATATTTTATAATATTAATAAGATTAACAAATATTCGCAAATTATTTGCTTTATTTGCGATAAATCTAAGGAATGTTTCAGATTTATATCTGTTGCTGAAATTCACCATCGCTCTACCCTCTAGAGTAGTGATTCCCAAAGTGGTCTATATCGACCCCCAGGGGTCTATGACATACTGCAAGGGGTCTACGACAGCGGTCATCTTGTTGTTATTAACACTAAACTTTACTACAGTTAGAAATTTACAAGAAATCAATACCAGGTAAGTATGGGAGGTAAACTTAAAACCGAAAAATATGGCAGGGGGTCTACGACACAAAGTTTGGGAACCTCTGATCTAGAGCAATACAAACAATCATACTCATGAATACAAATGTTTGCATCGTGTGAGGAATCGTACTCGCGACATTTGAAAGTAAAGCGATGTGCACAGCCTCTAGACCATGGAGACTTAATAATAATAATAATAATAATAACTCTAATAATCACACAGGATAATTTACACAGCGCCATCTAGTCCCAAGTTAAGCTAGCTACAGCTTGTGTTATGGGTACTAGATAACTGATACATATACATAGATATTTTTTTTTGTAAACAAATATATATTATACATAGAAAACACCCAGACCGATACAAACAATCATATGAATACAAATGTTTGTGTCGTGCGAGGAATCAAACCCACGACCATCGTAAAGCGGTGTGCTAGACCGCTAGACCACCGATGTCGTCAAATAATGATAATATACCACTTAAAAATACCTACCACTTTCCATCGTGTGGGCCAGTCTGTTCACCATTTCAATTGTACACAGCCGATTCTTCATTCACCTCAAATTCTGTATTCCACTTAATTAGTGTAAATTATTTGAATATCTGTATTATAACTTATACTAATTGGATTCCCATCGACTTAATACGTCAAAGTTTCATTGAAAATGAACGATTTGATGTTATTTTAGGCGTAAATGATGTCTCGAATGATTTCTAGTCAAATTTTCACTTTCGATAACGATTCGATTAAATGGAGCTGAAAATATTGTACAGTTAGCTACGTATAACGCGTAGGCGTCAGTTCAATGTTATATATAACTAGATGTTCCAGTGACTTCGTTCGCGTGGAATTAACTTAACGTTAACTTTATTTTTCTAAAATAAAAGTGGCCTAAGTTACTCTTTATTATATCAGCTACCTGCCACAAAAAGTCCCGTCAAAATCGGTCCAGCCATTTTTAGCCGGAACAACTCGGAAAATTTTGGTTTATGTACCGTATTTATATTCAGATGAACTTTGTGAGTATAGAATATATAATAATTTAATCTTGTGTTTATTCATTCATAAGTTATTAAGAAGAGTTGTAATTCTCATGCCTCCTGTATATGATACAAACACAAATATTTCTATCTAAAAACTTTTACAAATTTATACTATAAATGAAATAAATTATTTACCAATCTATCTATATACAGCTAGTACATGAGAATATCAGTCTTAATGCTATCATTAAGGGGGATATTCTCATTGCTAACAATGAATATTCTCAGTTATATTGCGTTCACATATTTTACTTTTTCTTTTTCATTAGAAAGAGTTATAATTCGCATGCCTCTTAAATATGAGGAAAATATTTGTACCTAAATACTTGTAAAATTTGTACTATAAACGTTTATACAAATTAATTATTTACCAATCTGGTATATGAGAACATCAGCAACAATATGTATATGTGTATGTGATAGTATTAAGGCCGATATTCTCAGTACTAACAATGAATATTCTCAGTTTTGGCTGCGTTCACGTATTTTATTTTTGGCCTCGCCGTATCATAAATTTGTGATAACGTAACAAATATGCATAAACTTGCTACGGCAACATGAATTTACGATCCATCTAAAAAATGTATTACATCAAAATTGACTGAGATAACTTGTGGGACAATCAATGCTAATGTTATAAATAGAGAGTGGATTTTATGAGGTGAATAAACTCTATAATCGACTGCACTCTATAATCGATTTATGATTTTTTTAGTAATTGTAGAGTATGTTTTTATACTACGTTGGTAGCAACCAAATATACGACCCATCTGATCAACGGTTACCGTAGCATATGGACGCCTGAAACACCAGGTCTTTCGTTCTTCTTCTCTCTCTTTTCGTTCGCTTTGCCGAACCTTGAGAAACCTTAATATACCCTTCTTGAATAACCCCATGCTGTAGTCTCTCGAAAAAACTTGGGAAGTAGTTCATTTTACAAACTAAGTGTACGCGGGAGGAAGCTCCTCTGAAACCGCACTGTCCAAGACCACTTAGGTTCCAGCGTGTGGGAATGAATTCCCTGTCGATGGCGAGCGGAAAAATGTGAGTGTAATTTATTTTGTTACTACATATAAAAAACAAATGCCAAAACATACAAGATATATAGTAAAATATTACAAAAATGCATACATACTTCACAACAAATTCAATGTAAGAAATATATAGATACAAGCAAAAATAAAGGAAAAGCTATATGGAATCTGAATAATGGTAATATAAATGATGACCCTGAAAAGAGACAAATTGACATGATTAAAGTAAATGATCTAGTATATAAAGATCCAAATGCTATTTATAATTTATTTAATGATTACTTTGTAAATTTTACAACTGAAAATGAAAATAATAATTCTAACTGCAATTTTAATTTATATAACGTCAACAAGAAAAATTACGCAAAATCAATTTTTTTAAAACCTACACATGAAAATGAAATAATAGTGATCATTAATACATTAAAAAACACAAATTCGGTAGGCTACGATGCAATTAGTACAAAGATTTTAAAAATCTTCCCAATATTTATCTAAACCTCTGTCCTCTCTTTTGAACAAGGTTGTTTGCCGACCCTTAAAAAAACTGTGATAAAGCCCTTACATAAAAAAGAAAACACATATGAATGAACAATTACAGACCGATTGCACTTATTCCGTCTCTAAAGTATTTGAAAAACTTGTTAAACAGACTAAATGAATTTATGACTTTAAAACAAGAGCAATACGGTTTTATAAAAAATAGTTCAAC